AACCGTTCCCCAACCCTTCCCCCGGTTTTCAGGGGGGGGTTGTGGGGGGGTTTTTGGGGGGGTTTTTGGGGGGGTTCTTTCCCCTTCTTGAGGCCCGTTGCCCCCCAAGGGGGGAAAGCCCGCCTTCTTGGGCAGCGCCGCTCCGGTGGAAGAGACGGTTGTTCCCCGGGAGGGGGCCCCGTTTTTTTTTTGGGCCCTTTGGGAGTTTTTGGAGGGAAAGCCATTCGCCAGGTTGGGCGCGGCAGGGGGGGGGGGGTCCAGTTCTTGCGGTGTTTGTGTTGGGGCGGCCCCGGGTGTTGTTCCCGTTTCCACTTGCCCACCTTTTTTCGGGGGGGGGCACACGCCAAAGGAGGGACAAGCGGGAGTGGATTTAAGTTAAAAAGGGGGAAAAAATGCCACCAGCAGCAGCGGCACCATTGTTACAGTGGGGGGGGAAGAGCAAGCAGGAGTAAAAAAGTGAGGAAGAACCCCCCGGGGGGGGGGGGGGGCAAGCAGGATCATTGTTATGGAAGATAGTGGGAAGGAGCGACAGCAGCAGCAGCAGCAGCAGCAGCAGCAGCAGTGCCACATGAATATATTTTCACATGCTCCGTTGACGAGACTTGTTGGACGCGTGGGTTTTTTGTTGGTCAAATACATGGAACAAAACAACGTTCACGTCAAAGCAAAGCAACAACAGCCTCCGTCGGGTTTCTCGACGCAATTTGTAACCTTTGGGCGTTATACCGATTAGAAAACTGCGGGCCACAAATGTTTTTCGGCTTGGCGCGAGCCGGGGGGGGGGGCGGGGGGGAGCAGTTGAGCCCGTGATTGCTCAAGCTTTTCCCTAATGTCATTTACGTGTTGACTCATAGTCCATTACTGTAAATGCATCGGCATAAATACCACCTTGTAAGAAACCAAAACTTCGGTTTCGGCTCCTCGTGTGTGTATGTGTGTTCCCCCCACCTCGTCAGTCTATGCCCCTCCCAGTGCCCCCACAACTTCGACGAAATGGCCTAGGGAAGGACAAAAACCGCATGGGCAAACTAGTCTTAACGGTTTCTTTTTCATTCGTTCAGGTTCGCTGGGCTCTTCGAGTCAAGAACACATCAGCTGTGTGAGCTTGGGAACCATCGTCGTCGCAACTGGTAGCTGTGGGCTGGTCCTGCTGCCTGCCTTCATCGCCATCCTTTATCACCCCTTGATGACAGTGTTCTCTCATCGGCCCACTCCGTAGTGATCCGTCACTTCAATACTAGAAAAAAATAATCTAGACCCTTATCTATGGACAGAGATGCATTTTCAGTGCAAAAAACAACAAGTTTGCAGCCGTAGATCGAAGAAAACCGACGAATATATTGCGTCCCCAAAACCGAAAAATAAAAAATACCCACCACACACACCTAACCATCATTCCAGTCCTAGGCGTCAAAGGTGCGATACGATTGTGTACATATCGCCTGTAAAGTTCCGCTCGGTTTTCTGGGGTCCCGACGGTTTTCTCACCACCACCGCCATTGTCTCCGAGTCACCCTTGACGAACTCAGGCCGGAGCATTCTCCAGTAAACGGACTGGTGACGGTCCGACACCTTGTCCCCGCAGACTTCGATGACTTCGTTGGATGAGTCGAGCTGGACCTGAGGGATGTGCGTGCGCGGCATGCATGTATGAGGTATGTGCGTGGCATCACACGCATTCGGACGCACGGTTGTTGCCGTCGTCGTTTCCACAACAACAAAAGCAACCAACAATCGGGTCTGCCTCTTAAGAACCAGTTCTTATTGCTGTGGAGACCACCTTCAGTGGAGACCACCTTCAGTGGAGACCACCTTCAGTGGAGACCACCTTCATAAAGGTAGAAACTCCCCAACGTCGGTCGAGGACGATTCCCTCTTTGTGGAGACCACCTTCATAAAGGTAGAAACTCCCCAACGTCGGTCGAGGACGATTCCCTCTTTGTGGAGACCACTTTCATAAAGGTAGAAACTCCCCAACGTCGGTCGAGGACGATTCCCTCTTTTCACATTGCCTCTGTATTTTTTATCACCAGACCGGGGATCGTTCAGTTCAAGAATTTGTTGACAGGAGCTGCTCACTGAAAACAGGAAGTGACTTCTTTGCGGGTTCGTGTACTTGTCTGATCGCTCTTTTATTTTCCTTCCCGCACTTGCCCAGGCAACGGCGAATTTTCATGGCCACAACGCCTAACCTCCCCTCGGAGGATGTTTTTCTACAACAAAAAAGGGGGGGGGGACGGAGGACAAGGAACAAAAAAAAAAAAAAACTACGGAAAAAATGCGAGCGAAACGCCAGGTTGATTTGTACCGTGGCAACCTGTTTGGGCACACAAAATGTGAAATTCCTTGCTAGAAACACGGGTTCGCAGAAGAAGAAATTGAACATCGTTCGCCATTGTTCGGGGGGGGAAAGGCACGCTCGACGTAGCCCACGGGTGGGTTTCGCCAATTGGACGCAAAACTCAATCAGCACCTGTTTGGGGTTTAGGCAACAAAACGATGACCACGTGTTGCCCGGAGAATAGTATTATAGAACCATTGGCAGATCACGCAACATCACCGTCCGTGAACCGTAGATTGCGGAAGATACCACGCCCTCTGGACCGATTTTCCAAGCGCGATTGCTCCCCGAGGAAGAGCCCCCCCCCCAAAAAAAATAAAAATAGTATGTGTTTTCGGAAAGCTCGACGAGACGTTGCCAACGCTACCATTTTCGGCACCCTTACTGCTCTTTCTTGGCGAGTAATCCAGCGGTACAGGGGGTGTGATATCTTACGCAACCCTGCGGTATTTCTTTCACTGGTCGCTCTTCGGCGACAAAAACGTAAGGCCAGACTCGTCACACCTGGTACATAATGTACTTTCTCGCCAGGTTGTGCATGTCTAACGGGACAGTCACGGACAAGATGATGCCTTTCTCGGGGGGGTCGCCGATGTGAACATACACGGGGGTCATGTCGCTGAGGATGTCCGACAGGTGCTCCACCTGGAAAAAAGTGGGCAAACACGAGCGACGTCCGCGTCAGTTGGACCGGTGCGAATGTTTTGAGCAGAGACCCGAACGGTATTAATTGTAAAGACAACAACACATACTGGGGGCGGGCGGGCGGGCGGAGGGGGGGGGGGGGGGGGGGGGGGGCGGGGGGGGCTTTTCCCGGGGGGGTTGCCTTTACCCCGGGGATTTTAAACCCAAAAATTCCCCAAGTTTAGGGGGGGCTTTTCCCCTTTTTTCGGGGGAAAAAAAAGGTTTCAAGCCCTTTTTCCCGCCCCCCTTTTTCCCCGGGCCTTTTTTGGGGCCCCCCCCCTGGGCGGGGAACCCCCGGGGGACTAAGAAAACCCCCCTTCCCCCTTCCCAAGGGCGCCCCGAATAAAAATCCCTTTTTCACAAAATTTGGGGGAAATTAGGGGGGGCCCCCCCCCCCCCC